TATTGTACTCACTACAACACTAATGGTCATCGCAAGGAATCATGCTTCAAGCTTATTGGGTATCTAGACTGGTACAAACAACTCAGAGACCCGAAGAGAAAGGAGTCATGGACAAGAAATGAAATAGGAGGAAAATATGCAGCAAACTTGGTGGATACACCATTGGAAGTGAACACTGAAACTACTGCAGGAAAAGGACTTGACCGGAATGTAGGGCTTGCAAATTTAATTCAGCAGGAGCTTATAAAATTGATGAAAGGGAAGATGCCTGCAACTGCGAATATGGTGAATTTTGCACATCTTGAAGACTTTGCAGGTACTGTTCTAAATCCTGAACTTAATTTTGCTTTAAATACTGTGGATTTGTTTAGATTAGGAACTTGGATAGTAGACGTTGGGGCATCTAATCACATGTGCACAGACATTTCACTTATACATAAACCAACAATTGTAAGCCACATGACACCTGTGTATCTTCTAGATGGAACCATAAACTTAGTGAAACACACTAGAACTGTCCAATTGACCCCAAGAATCTATCTCACAAATGTTTTGCACGTACCTAGCTTTAAATTTAATCTGCTATCAATTAGTAGATCTACAAAGAGTGCAAACCTGAAATTTCCTTTTTTACCTACACACTGTTTGCTGCAGGACCAACGGAGTGAAGAGGTATTGGCAGTGGAAAAATCAGTAGGAAATCTTAATTTCCTAGATACAAAGTCTTTTCTTCCAAGCACTATACAAAAATACACCTTTCTTTCATGTAATTCTGTTTCATTACCATCTTTACCTTTGCATTGTAATAAAATTACGAATTCAGAAATAAAGTTAAAGGACAATTGCACTAAACAATCTTTGTTTCCGTGTGATGTATGTTCCTTTTCTAAACAGCATAGATTGCCATTTCCTACTAGTCATATTCATACCAATAAACCTTTTGAATTAGTTCACTTAGACTTGTGGGGACCTTACAAACATGCATCATTGACTAGTTCTCATTATATGTTAATAGTAGTGGATGACTATAGCAGGGCAACTTGGACTTTCTTGTTAAAACACAAGAGTCAAACTTTTCAAACTTTAGTGCAATTTATCATTATGGTTGAAACTCAGTTTGAAACAAAGATAAAATGTTTTTGATCAGACAATGGAATTGAGTTTTTAAGCAATGAATTTCAAAGTCTTTTACTTAAGAAAGGAATTTTACATCAAAAGTCATGTGTATATACCCCTCAACAAAATGATGTAATTGAAAGGAAGCATAAACACCTATTGCAAGTTGCAAGGGCACTTATGTTTCAATCAAACTTACCAAGAAATTTTTGGGGATATTCTTTGCTTATGGCAACTTTCATAATTAATAGATTGCCAACTGAGATTCTTAATTGGAAGACACCTTTTRAGATTTTATATAACAAAGCACCAGAGTATCATATGTTAAAGGTTTTTGGTTGCCTCTGCTATGCAACAAATACTAAACCAGCAAAAGATAAATTTTCAACTAGAGCCTTTAAATGTGTTTTCATAGGCTATCAGCCTAGACAAAAGGCTTACAAAGTGTATGATTTAACTTCCAAACAAGTTTTTACCTCTAGGGATGTCATCTTCTTTGAAAATGTTTTCCCTTTTAAACAAGAAATAGATTCTATCTTGCCTTTGCCCATGTCAACTACTGATAGTGAACACGTATTTGAAGAATCTGTTATTCCAGAACCAATTTCACAGCCTGAACCTTCATCACCTGCACCTGATCTTACTCCTAATTTGGATTTAGAACTTACTGACCATTCAACACCAGACCAAATATCAGATGTTGAACCTGTAATTGAAATGCTACCACTTCAACCTGATCTAGACCTCCAACAAACCAGACACAGTACAAGGATTAGGAATAAGCCAACCTGGATGAAAGACTTTGTTACTAATCTATCTTTTACTGATCCAACTGTTGCCAATACTTACTTAGAACCACACCCACCAGTTCCAAACACACCCCTCAGACTTTTCCTTTCATTCACTCACCACTGTTTACATGTGATTACTTGTCCTTTCTAGCAAATGTTACAACTATTCAGGAACCAAAATCTTACAAAGAATCCAATGTTAAAGCAAAATGGGTGCAGGCAATGAACAAGGAGTTAGAGGCTTTAGAATCAAACCAAACCTGGGATTTGATGCCATTACCTGCAGGGAAGAAACCTATTGGCTCTAAATGGGTCTATAAGGCGAAATTGAAACCAGATGGGATAGTTGACAGATGCAAGGCAAGATTGGTGGCCAAAGGGTACAATCAAGTTGTTGGGATAGACTATTTTGGAAGCTTTTCTCCAATAGCCAAGTTGGTTACTATCATAATTTATTTAGCTGTGGCAACTACATTTTCTTGGCCAATTCAACAACTGGATATAAATAATGCTTTCTTGCATGGATTTCTCACAGAAGAAGTTTATATGTGGCCTCCAGAAGGGTATACAAAGGCTAAAGAAGGAGAAGTTTGCAAGTTAAGGAGATCTCTTTATGGCCTTAAATAGGCTTCCAGAGAATGGAATTTAGAATTTTGCAAGAAATTGCAAACTTATGGTTTTCTACAATCACAACATGATCATTGCCTTTTTACTTTGAAATCTTCCACCTATTTTCTAGCTCTACTTGTGTACGTGGATGATGTTTTAATTCAGGAACTTGTGAAGAGCAGATCTTAGCTGTGAAGAAGTTTTTGGATACTGAATTCACCATCAAAGATCTTAGTCTTGCAAGATACTTCTTGGGAATTGAGATTGCACGCAGTGATACTAACACTTATATTAATCAGAGAAAGTATGCCTTAGATATTGTTACAGATGTTGGATTATTGGGTGCCAAGCCTACTGCAAGTCCTCTACCTAAAGGCCATAAATTCTCTTCTCAAGCAGGAGATCTTTTACTTAATCCTAACAAATATTGTAGATTGGTGGGAAGATTATTGTATTTGAATCTTACTCGACCGGATTTGACTTATGCAGTTCAACAATTAAGTCAATTCGTTAATTTACCCTGCAAAAGCCACTAGGAAGCAGCTCTACATGTTGTTAAATACTTAAAGGGCACACTCAGTAAGGGTCTTTATTTTCCTGTCCAGAATTCTGTCAAGTTACAAGCATTCAGTGATGCTGACTGGGCTTCCTGCATTGACACTCGACGTTCACTCACTGGATTCTATATTTATCTTGGTCACTCTCTTATCTCATGGAAAACAAAAAAACAAACCACAGTGTCACGTTCTTCAGTAGAGGCTGAATACCGCAACATGGCTTCCACAATCTGTGAGTTGCAATGAATAACTTATATTCTAAAAGATTTGCAAATTCCACTGCACCTTCCATTCCTTTGTGGTGTGACAATCAGGCCGCCCTTCATATCACTGCCAACCCCGTTTTCCATGAGAGAACCAAACATTTGGAGATTGACTGCCACTTGGTTCGCAATCAATTCAAACAAGGATTTGTTCGTCCTCAGCACATCTCTACTAAACAGCAAGTGGCAGACATATTTACCAAAGCTTGCTCCTCCTCTATTAGCTTTATATTATTCTTTTATTTTATAGGGTGATGTGGCAAGTTTGTTATTTTCTACATCATTCTTTTTTGTCAGCTTGTATATATATGTAGAGAGAAGGACCTTTGTTTTCATTAGCTTCTAAAATAATATTTTACAGAGTTTTTCCTTCTCTTCATTCTATCTTTGCTCAGAAACTCGACCGAGAATTATGAGTACTCGATGGGAAGCCACCGAAGAGAGACTGATTAGTTTTGGAATTGTGGGGAAGGGACTAATGGCTTAGTTCACAGTCACTTTAGGCCAGTTGGCAGGTCTGTTGAACCATGGTGGGTGGTTTCAGCCACCCATTGATGCAGGGTGGCTGCCCGATCAATAAGGACTCTTGAAACAGTCTTTATAGAATTACAAGCTCCGATAACCATTCGTTCTTCCCGTCTGAACTACCTGCGAGGCCAAGAAAGGATACTTTATCAGCCAACTCGAGAGGAAGAGCTTCTGAGCAACAAATAGGTTTGGAGAACTCAGACGGAGGGAGAGCACGTAAATTGACAAGCCCTGAGAGGATTCTACAACAAATTGTTGCTGAGTCTATTCCTATAATGGCTCAAATACTTCACGAGCTGCGTTCCTCATCTTCAAACGGTGGAGTTCAGGGATTTGAAAAGTATAATGAGGTCAAAGGGAGTTTTTTGGGTCAATTTTCAAATGGGGGTATAATGAGAATTTAAACTAACTTACAAAAGGGTAAAATGAGAATTTGGAAAAAATTAATGCACCGATTTAACGTTTTCAGTTTGAATCTGTGACGGAAGGGAGATTTTTGTTAAATTCTTTAAAAATTTAGGGGAGATTTTTGTTAAAGTCAAATTAAAGGGGAAATTTTTATGCTTATCAGAAACTACAGGGGAGGTTTTCGTATTTTACCCTAAAAATTAACTTAGGAAGCTCTAACGGAAGAGGTATTTGTTGCAAGGTGAATGTTTAATGGGACTTGTTTGAGGGGTAATTATCAGTAACCCATATACAGATACGGGGGGTCTTTATTATTTACCCAAAAAAACCAAATTGGTCCCGGCTGGGAAGCTTGAGTCACTCCTCATACCCACCTCACATCACCTTGCATTCGGGCACATGAATTGTACTTTGGTATGTTTTGATTGATTCATGGGAGTGGGAGACCGGAGACGTTCCCCATGCGCAGCTGCAACTGATACCACATGCCTAATGATATTAATTGTTAAATACAAACTAAAAAGGGGGCAAATTTGGGGTTTTGAAAAAATTTCAACCACACGTGATGCCACATGCAGATGCATCTAGATTCTTGACCGATTGTGGCCAATCGAGATCGAGGGAGATTTTTGTGTGATTACGTAATTCGACGAATAACGTCTGTTTTTTTGGAAATGAAAGATTGAAAGGGGAGGTTTCGGTATTTAATTTGGAAGGTGGGGGAATCAGTAATTTACCGGATTTGCAGTCAGTCAGCTATGATGCGCGCTTACTTTGTTGTTTGCGTCTACAAATTCAGTCCTGTCGTCCAACGGTGTCTCTAGGCTTAGAAGTTTGGAACCTCCCAATATGGCTTTAATAAAAACTGCAACTTTCGGGCTAACTTGTTCTCCATTCTCATTGGACGGTATATCAGTTTTTCAACATTGGCCGCTGTTCTTTTTCTTCTACGCATGACAGGAAGAACTTTGAATTATTCTTTTCTTTCTTAGATTATTATTATTATAGGATTTGTGCAGAGGAAAAGGAGGAAGGCGAGGCGAACCTCAAAGGCGCCAACGATGAAGTTCGAAGGCGTAGACAAGGAGCTGCAGAAGATTTTAGATGCCAACATGGATGATGTTGCTGCGAGGCGTCGTGCTCGTGAGGCATTCAAGGAAATTCAGCTTGGAATAGATCATTGTTTGCTTAAGGTATTCCTCTTTGCAGTGTTGGGTATCAGTATTTGATCTTTCTATGTTTGCTTATTTGTCAGTGCGAGTGCATATTCGTGTTTGTACTTCTGATTGATAGAATTGAAAACGTGGTGTTTGATTAATTGAACACCGTTTCAATTTCTCTGTTTCAATTTAAGTTTGTATTGAACGTTGATTTCAGTTTGGACTCACTGCTGGCCTGGTTCAATTTATGCAACAAGGCTACTGATTCAAATTGTCTATATAGATTAAGAGTCACTTATTGTGCATTTTTTTTCTTGTTCTCCTACAAGGGCATTTGGATGCCTTGATTTAGACGCATTTTGACAAGTTCATTATATCATGTGCAAAACGCATTATCTTTTTGAGTTTTTAACCCAGTTTTGAGCAATTTTTTCGATGAATGCGTTCAGACTCAAAATGCAGAATTGCACATTTAAGTAAAAGAAAACTGTTGGATTTACTTTTTGTCTGTTGTTAGTGACCCAGGCACTCCACGCCTTGTAAGGTTTAGGAAATACGAACAATATAACTATCTCAGCAAGGAAGTTTCTTAATTAGCAGGAATCTCCATTAACACTTTCCCTATGCTAAATACATCATGAAAGAATGTGCCTTCAAACACTCTCTTATGCCATAACTTATGTTCTTTGCACCTTACTAGAATGATGAGGATGTTTATTGGTTTGCTCGGTTGGCATTGATTTTTCATTTTCTTGCTGGCATTGCTCCATTGAGTAGATTGATGGAACTGATGTTACTAGGAAACTCAAACCAACCTCTCCCATCTGTGAATAAATCAAGGAAAAACCTAATAGAAAAACGTGCAGCAATCATGATGTAAAGAAATGACATGTCAAACAATTCAATGAATAAAAAAGTAAGCAACTTCAAGATATGAGACACCTGGATTTTGTACATGGAAAACCCTCCAATGCGGAGGGAAAACTCTAGTTACAACTAAAATGTTTCAAAATTAAGAGAATACACTCTTTGATATACAATGTAACCATTAACTATAAAAAAACATGTATTTCAATTAACAAGAATAAAGAAAAGATCTCACCAATTATGGACTGCATAAAACCTCTTCAAACCAGCCTGTCAAGAGCCAAGAAATCCACCAAAAAAATCTTGATAGAGAATACTTAAAACTGCAGCAGGAGATTGGTAGAAATAGCTTGCAAAACACCCAAAGAAAATGGATTGATTTCAACCTTTGTTTCTTTGTTCAAACAGGATGATAGATTTTTTCTTCTCTTTTACCAAAGATGTATGCCTTTCTCTTCTTTTTTCTCATTCTCAAAGAAGGAAAACTCAACTTGAGCAATATCTCAAGAAGCCCCTCCTTCAACATGTAGGAGTTTGTAGAGAAAGCCAAGAGATAGTTGAAACTAGGGCTGATCATGGGCTAGGCCAGGCTTAGCACCTATGTTAAGGGTTATAACCTAGGCTCGGGCCCAGGCCTAAAATATAAGCTTGGGCTTGGAGCTGTATGGGCCAGGGCCAAGCAAGTTTGGGCTTTGGGCTCAAAATATTAAATAATGAAAATTTAAATTGCATGTTATGTAATACATAAAAAAATATTACATAGGCCCAAGTTGGGCCGGATTTGGCTTAGCTTTGAGCCTATCACCTATGACACAAATTATAGGGTTTGAGCTTCAATACATGGTTGTCTCCTTAGGGGGTAGAATGGAGGCCTTGCTTTCATCTATATAAGAAGACAACCATAGACAATAAGCTATTCTCTGTTATGTGAGTTGACTCATGAGTTGATACATGTGTCAGCTCATGGATATGTTTATTATATATTAAAATTTTTAATATATAATTTATTATATATGTTTGTGTTGATTTGTGGGCCGATTTTATTTGTTTTTATTTACATAATTTAGTTAGGTAGTTGTTGGGCCTTAGGCCCATTAGTTTATGTTTAAATTAAGTGTGACTTTTTAGCTTCTTACAAGTGGTTGACTTACCAAGGGCATGCTTGTACTTGTACACTCTTTATTTATGAGTATACAATCTAATGAAAGGGGCAGCCAGATCATATTTTTGGCTTTTCCTCCATTCTCTTTTATCTCTCTTCTCTTTCTTCTAGTAGAAACCTTTTCCTCTCTTCTTTCTCTTCTTTCTTTTACAGATTTTATATCAAAACAGGCTATCAAAACTTTTCTACTTGCATTTGCATATACAACATATATATAATATATGATTTATTAAATGTAATGTATAATATAATATAATATTTTATGGACCTGAAGTGTTGGGCCCAAGCCTTACTGGGAAAATTGCGGGCTGGGCCAGACCATGTTTCAGGGCCGAGCCAAGAATGATCACAGATCACCCTTAGTGGAAACTATCCACTAATTTGAAACAAGACATAACAAGTCAATTTGTAGGCTACTCGTTCTTCTTTTTAGCTCAACAAAGAAAAGTGCATCCCATCCATGAGGAGGAATAGCCAACAGATGTAACCATCACTGTTCTCATTAAACTGTTCTGTCTTGCAATACTAATTACACTCTATTCATGTTCATGCTGCAAATGTACAACTGAGCATTTGAAGGCAAATTGTTTCACTATCACACTCTCTTTTCCAGTATATGTAACCTTCTTTTGAAAATGGATTGTGTTGATACCGGATAAGATGCATTTGTATGTTTCCAAGACATTTTGAAAGTTCTTATATCTTATTTTATTTTCTCTCTTGTTGTTGTTGTGATGCAGGTAGTGGTTTTTATTTTCCACCTAATAAAGAGTGGTTTGATATGAAAGAGGTGTATATGTGCATCGATTGCCTTCTTTGGGAAATTAATTGATAATAATCATTTTTTTTTCTTACCATGTAACAGATTCCATATGATGGCTTGAAGATGAAGGAGGTAAACAGTTCAGACATTCATTGTATTTATGCAGTAGTTTTTCGATTTATTTATTTATTTGGTAAACACAGTAGTCTTTATAGGTTATCTTAAAGCATATATAAGTATCATGTTCATATTTAAAATGTCACCATGCTATTTGTTTTGACATCCCTAACTAAAAATGCTTGAAATGAAATTCTCTTCCCTCATCTTCCACAATATTTTTTCCTGATGAGTTAACTTTTTTCCTAAGACACAAACAAAGCAGGATAGATGCATCCAAATTCTTCAAAAAAAAGCACGATTGCATTCAATAAGCAGTCTCATCCAAATTCTAGACAAAACACATATTTAATGGGAATTTGGTTTGTAGCATGCTTGCTTCTTCATGTATTTTGTGATTAGTGATCCAGTTCTATTAAGGCATTTTACAGAAGCTGCCAGATCATCATACAAGGAACTAGTAGTTCATAAATTCCATCACTTTCTTTTATGAGCTCTGTGAGGATATTGTTTTTTTTTTTATATTTCCAAACAAGATAATCATTTTAGATCCTGTTTATGCAGTCATATGAGGTGAACTCTAGAGGGTTGGAAATTTTCTCTAAAAGTTGGCTTCCAGAGATTTCTCCATTAAAAGCTGTGGTTTGTTTCTGTCATGGTTATGGGGACACTTGCACATTTTTTGTTGAAGGCATGTGACCGTTTCAGAAAGAAATGATGAGTTTTGTTTCTTCTCTAGGTATCCTGGAAGAAACTAATTTTTTTTTTATATGCATTGTCTTCAGGAATAGCTAGAAAGTTGGCTTCATCTGGCTATGGAGTTTTTGCAATGGATTACCCTGGCTTTGGTCTATCAGAAGGTCTTCATGGATATATTCCAAGCTTTGACAGGATTGTTGATGATGTAATAGAGCATTTCTCCAAGGTCAAAGGTGAGATATCACTTCCTTAATGGACTAAAATTAGCTTATCTTTTGATCAAGCAACTTTTTGTAAATGCTTACTAAAAATAGTGGTTTTCTTTATTTCTTTATCAGAAATGGAAGAATTTGGTTCCTTAGTAGTAACTAGGAAAGGATAGAAACAAAATGAGGCATACAAGAGAAAGGATAGAAACAAAATGCTCAACCTTTGGGCTGGCAATAACATCCACAGTAGAATGAGTTCGTTTGTCCCCCACCCCCACCCCCACCCCAAGCAAGCATCTCAGAGTTCACATTGGCCGACCTGGGATTGAATCTTAATAACAACCCTATTGAAGCCCATAGGAAAGGATAACTTAAGTCCATGGAAGAGAGAAGGTGTATTGCTCTCACTGAATCACCATCTCTTCTAGGACCCAAGTAGGCAATGCATCACCACAACTCTGCTATCCTTGAAAATTCTGCTTATCCCAGAATGTCCAGGATTTCTCAATGCCAAGTTATCAAAACTAAGCTTAACAACATTTTCATTTTTTTTTATTTTTTGGTGAGGGTGGAGGGGTGCAGGGGTGGAGGGGGGGGGTGATTTTGGGGACACAATCACCATCCTGACTGGTTGAGAACATGCAATATCAGGCTAGGTTCTCATGGTGAATCAATCAACTGAAATGCTTCTGAAGGTCAATCTGCTGCAACCCACAGTAACTGATAGAAACTCCAGGACTCCACCTCCTCATGAGATTGCTCTAAGTCACAGAAAACTGGAACATGACTCCATGCAAACAAAAGCCTACTAATATCTGGATGGCTTGGGTTTTGGTGCTTCAAACATGAGTATGAAAGTTTTCAATCATTGTCTGATGATTGACAAGGAGATGTAGGATAGTTCAACAACGGACGGGGGTACTGCACATTAATGGTGGTTGCACACAAAAAGAGATAAGTGAAACAATACAGTGATGTGAAAGGGAATGGGTAGAGCTTACTACTCTAATTCCCCTGGATTACTACCATATGCAGAAGAATTTCACCTCAGAAGAAAAACAGCCTTTTGAGAAGAAAGGACTGTTTAGAAAGTTGCAAAAATTCAAAAGGTGGTGGCAGCTTGGGTTCAAAGAGAGAGACTTTCGAACATAATCCCTTCTCTTATTCCCTTAATTCTATTTCATTAAGTTAAATTTTAGTAATTTACAGAGAAGCCCCTAGTTGGGCAAAAAATTAAAAAGACATAACATAAGAAAGAATAAAGCCCAAATTTCAGGCCCATTACAGTAAAGAACATAAAAGATAAAAAGGATAAATAGCCTATGGGCCATTCGACTCATCTTCTCTACACTCCCCCTCAAGCTGAGCATAGATGTCAATCATGCCAAGCTTGCCAGTATCATGCTGAAGTTTAGCCTTGGGAATGCCCTTGGTGAAGAAATCAACTAACTGTCCTTCAAAGGTGATGAAAGGTAGACACACTTCTCCAGAAGCCACTCTTTCTCGAATGAAGTGTCTGTCAACTTCAATATGCTTAGTTCTGTCATGTTGCACTAGGTTGTGAGCAATGTTGATGGAGGCCTGATTATCACAATATAACATCATTGGTTTATCATGTTCAATACCCAGTTCCTCCATCAAGGATCTAAGCCACAATAGTTCAAAAACTCCATGAGCCATGCCTTTGTATTCTGCTTCGGCTGAAGATCGAGCAATAACTGATTGTTTTTTGTTTCTCCAAGAGACAATATTACCTGCCACCAAGCTATAGTACCTAGAGGTAGATCTTTGGTCATCAATGTTTCCGACCCAGTCAGCATCTGTGTAGGCTTCAAGTTTCATATGGCCATGCTTAGCAAATAGAATTCCCTTTCCAGGGGAGCCCTTCAAATAACATAGAATCCGCTCTACTGCTGCCATGTGAGTATCCCTTGGAGCATGCATGAACTGACTGATGCAACTGACAACATATGCAATGTTTGGCCGAGTCATGCATAGATAAAGAAGTTTTCCAAGTAGTCTCTGGAAGACTCCCTTATCTTCTAACAATATTCCATCTGAAACAGA